TTTGAGATTTAGGAGACACATATCGTACAAGGACATTCTCTTGTTCAATATTACTGCAGTCAGTACTACCATCAGAGAGAACAGACACAAATGTTGCTTCTTTCAAATCATCAGCTACAGCCTCAGTCATAGCATCCCCGATCGATTTAATAAAGTCTTTACATCTACAGTAGAGACCCGTTATTACGATGTTCACTTTGTCACGGTAAAATATTGTAATACCGAGGGCAACTGATACAAAAATTTCCCTATCATAAAACATCGTTTGATTTTCATGTAATAATTGTCTCTCCTTCACACCTTTTCATGCCTTCTTATAATACATCTTATCTATATAAACAACAACCAAAATTCTGATTATTTTATTCTCTTTGTATTCAATTAAAAGTCATTTCTAAATAAACAACAACCTTTTTTGTGTTCAAATAAAAAGGCAAAGTAAATAGACATGCAATTGTCAAAATAATTTTTTTTTAATTACTGAACAGATAATTAGCAGTTGCAATTTTGATTTGTATTTCTGCTGACAACTGAACTGTTCAGTTTGAGCCACTACCCAAGCTGTTAAAACGTTTTAGTGGAGTTCAAAATTTGTTAAATTATGTTTGATACCCAAGCTGTTTATGTGTTCGCTTTTATTTGCAATTTTAAGAAATTACAACATTATGTGTACCTGTGTAAATATACATGCATAATATTAAATATAACCTTTTATTTATTTAATTAATTTATTAAACTAAGATGAAACAATAAAGAATTTTTTTAAAAATAAATTACAGCAATAGATAAAAAAATAGGTTTATGAGTAATATAATTGTTTAACAATGGCTTTGGCACGTTTTTCCAAAATCTGCTGGGCTCGCATGGGATGAATGTAAACAGGTGGGTGCAACAAGATTTATAGATCAAATAAGTTTTATACTTCAATTAAAAACTCTCTACAAAATCACAGGTGTTATGTTTATTTGAAATAATTCGTTTCCTTAAGTGTACATTCCAGCAATCAACACTGAATAGTACAGGTACGTAATACAACCTTGTTGAAATTTTTACATGTATACTGAGACCTGGCGATTTTGGACAACGTAATAAACAGTTCTTTTTTGTATAGATTTGTTAAGAAATGGATTTGTGCTTTGAATTTACAACGAGAGATAAGCGTTGCTATCTTTCAAATCACCGTCAGCCTCAGTAGTAGCGAGTCTCTACTGTATTAGCATTCAAATAATTTTTCCCTAGATCAATTCCAAGTTTCTGAATCAAAATGCAATCGCTTTCAAAATCACTGTGTGGTCTACCATGTTTTGCAATTTTGTATGCTATATTGAAAAGAGCATCAAGTCTTTTCATTTGATTTTCATCTAACTTCAGCATTGCTTTCATAATAGGCGTTGCTCTTATGTTGGCACTTACTTGATTTCCATCTGTAGTCACAGGAGTTTCGTTTTTCTGGCGATAGTAAGTTGTGCATAACATATGAACTTCGCTGGTATGATGGGATTTTAGAGATTCCACACGAAAAAGTTTGCATCCGTTGAAAAAAGAATTGTTCTTAACGTTACCAACTGTAGGAAATTTCCTGCAAATAGTGCAGTACACTGTGTTCTTTTCATCGTCATATTTCACCCAAGGCCACGTTTCCTCCCACGTTTTGATAAAACCTCGCTTCCTCTTTGTTTTCTCATACTTCACATGTTTTGATACTGAACCTGAAGGCTCGGAGCTTTCGTTATTATTATTATCCACTAATTGCTGGTCATCACATGAACTTTTTCTCTTAGTTTTTGTTATAAATTTTTCCATAGCAGACTCGATAAGGTAACCGCGCCACAATGTCAATATGTAAACGTCTTTTTCGCGCTTGAACTTTTCACGTTACCAAGACTTGATAAAGCGTTTTCATGATCTTAAATAATGAATTGTTAATTCGTACGAAAAACTACTTTCATTTTCAGTACGTATAGCTTTAAAAAAATCACTTGCCCACGGGCAAGTCAATACTGATTTTTCACTTGCCCGATCGTAAAAAGCACTCGCCCCGGGCGTCGGGCAATGGGATTTTTCAGCCCCTGTACATACATGTAATTTGTATTTAATGCCTTTTATGCCTAGGTCACATTTAAGCCAATGGTCGGGCGACTAAATTTTTCTGGTCTTGTCGGCTGAAAGAACATGATCGGCTGATACAGTATCGGGCGACACTGTGCAGTCACATTAATTCCTAGGGACACCGATGACTTGAATAAATAACACAAAAAATCTTTTTTCTTTAGAATTCAGCAATATTTTTTCATAGATCTATATTCAGATAGGTGACGTGAGTAATGTTTGCAAGACAAAGTGGCAGAATCTTATAAAATTACGACTCAATGTTGAAAATGTGTTCAAAATTTTGTATGGATTTGCAAAAAAAATGGTGCATATATAAGCAGCAAAGAATACGTAAGATTTCTTTATATCTTACGGATTAATTATACATGTTATTTCCGTTCAAAAATTATATCAATCCATGCATCAAAATTTTGTTTGTGTTATGTATCCTTACTAGGTTAAATATTGACAAGTCGGCCAATCGTCGTCCGTTCATCGAGCCCCCCCCCCCCGTATCCCTGACCCGGGGATCCTGTCCTGAAATTAATTTTGGAAGAGGCATCTTACTTCATCATAAATATGTACTTAGATCATTGGCATAATAACCAGGACCAAAGGAAAAGATTTTCAAAGATTTCATGCATTTTCACAATGTAATCAATAGAGCCCAACCCCAACACCAGAACCCCTGACACTGGGGCCCTAAAATTCACAAATTATGAAGAGGCAACCTTCCTCATCATATGTACATAGTTCATTGGTTTAATACCCAGGAGAAGAGGAGAAGATTAATAAAAAAATAAAAAAAAATAATTAATAAAAAAAATTAAAGAGTTAAAAAATTAATAAAAAAAAAATTATGCATTTTCACTATATGATCAACACAGTCCCACCCTAACACCAGAACCTCTGACCCAGGGGCCATGAAATTCACAATTTTGGAAGAAGCAGTCTTATTCAAAATAACTACCGTATAAGTACAATTTTTAGCGAGGATGTAATTTTGGCATTATTAGCAAGGGTGCTGAGATCGCTAAAATTAAATATCGCTAAAAATTAATTTCGTTCTGGTTATAATAGCTTCTTAAATGAGCATTTTATCTTCCATTTTTGTCTTCCATTTGTTTCATTTACAGCTGTTTTAAACAATCATTACACGACAAGTAGATTTACCAGTAAGGAAATGACTTCCACTGCTTTTTTTTAAACATCAATATATTCTGATATCAGTAATTTCATTCACAATATTAAGTAGATAATCAGTCAAAAGCTATGGAAGATAATAAAAGGTCTACAAATTCCTATTTATAAAAAGATTTTTGAATAAAATGAATTGCTCTCTTCACTTTATCCCCATTCACTTTATCCCCAGGGACAAATAAGTGTCTTTTCTATTTTCTTTGATGCTGATGTGGAATGCTTTAGGATAAATGATAATAAATCACAAGGGAACCATTTTAAAGACCTATCAATTCCTTGAGAATTTTTTTTTTTAATTTATGTTTCCTAATTAAATAAAATAGAATATGGGACAAATATCCTTACTTTAAATCTGTCAACATGTAATCTGAGAGAGATTTTAGAAAGATAGATATACAGTGATTACAATGTGGTATTAAATGTATACTATAATCTTCTTTTTTTATAAAAACATAAAATATATACATGTACATTACTAAGCAATTTTGTGTTCAATTTGTAATTGTCTGAAGAGCCATTAAAGGCAGAAAGTGCTTACAGTTAAAATGACTCCAGTCTTGTGATTCTTGATTTTTTTCATTGGATATATTTTACTGTACCAAAAACTGGATTTTTCTAAGAGAAATGTGTGGGGGTTTAGTTGTTGTTGTTTTCTTCCTTTCTTTCTTTCTTTTTTTGTTTGTTTGTTTGGGGTATTTTGTTTATCATGTAATGTGTGAGTTTTTTTATTTTCTTTCTTTCTTTTCATGTTTGTTTGTTTATCAGTTTTTTTTTTCAAACAATTGGTAAGCTCACAAAGTAAAATACCATTTTATTTAAGAAAAAAATACAGATCTATGTTATATTATCTGATTAACAGCAACAGGTAATCAGTGATATTTAATATATTTTTTTAACATTTAAGAATACATAGGAATTCATATAAAAAAGAAAAGAACTAGCTGATACCAGTCTATAATTCATGCAATGAAACCTTCAAACAAACATCACTTGCAGACACATTCTGAAACAGGCAAGATAATTAATCCCAGAGGATTAATTGTCCTGCTCTCATCCATTTACTGAATTGAATCAGAGCTTACAGAAGGAACATTTTCAGACACTATTCTTAAGTTTCCTTAAAGGTCAAGTATAATATTTTTGTTAAAATTCATAATTATTCATTAATGTCAGTCTCTGGAGCAATATGAATGACATTCTGAGGTCTATCTAATTTTTTGTCACCAATTTCCATCACTAATAGTCGTTTAAACTTACCTGTGTGACAAGTGGATCATTTATTGTAAATCGCTTGTCTCCCTTGTTGCGTGACGTCATCAGAGACAGCGTGAAATAGGAAGTGCATGCTATATTGCCGTGTTTGGAACATTATTGTTTGTGAGATGTTGCCATGTGGGCTTTTAACTGTACCAATAAATCGGAACAAGACATAATTATATATTTGAATTCTTACGCACCTGAAATTGAGGGAAATATGAGGGAAAAAAGAGATGGTTTTGAGCCTAATAAACACAAAACACTATAAATATTTGTAAGCGACATTTTATGTAGACCAGTTTAGGCTACAATTTATTATAAAATTATCTCAAGAATTTCTTGGTTTTATTTCAAATTTAAATTGCATTTTTCAATTTGTCAGTTTAGGTATTTATAGATACAATTACTGTTTTGAGGGAAACTTTTTTTATTATTGATGTTGTCACGGTGACCTACTTTTGACATTTTATGGCTATATTTAATTATATCTGGTACTTATTGGCTCGGAATTATCAAACTTTGTCAGTTGAGGCATCTTAGGGTTTCATTGAATGTCCAACAAGAAGTAGGTCACAGTGACCTAATTTTGAATATCGCAGGTAGTTATTGGCTTAGAATCATCAAATTTTGTCAATTTAGGCATTATGGGTTTTTGAATAACGTCGACCAAAAAGTAGGTCACCATGACCTACTTTTGACATTTGATGGCTATATTTAATTATCTCTGGTACTAATTAGCTTAGAATCGTCAAACTTCGTCAGATGATGCATCTTGAGTTTTCAGAGAATGTTGACCAAAAAGTAGGTCATGGTGACCTACTTTTGAATATCTCAGGTACTTATTTAATTAGAATCATCAGTCTTTGTCAATTAATGTATCTTGAGTCCTCAGAAAATTTCAATCAAAAGGTAGGTCACTTTTACCTACTTATGATATTTTATAATTATATTATAATATCTTCAGTCTTAACTGGCTAAATATTATTAAACTTTGTAAGTTCATGCATTTTTGGGTCTTATGATTCTAATAGAGTTGGAGGCTTCTAATAGAAGTGATAGATTGTACAATTTATCAGAAGAGCGATTCAAGGCCCTTGGGCCTCTTGTTTTTTAGACACGATAACTTGGCAGATAATCAATTCCTTGTCTATTATACCACATCTTCCGTTTTTTGTCAATCTAATTTTAGAGATTGTTCCTCCACAGTATATGGAAATTGCTAGTATTGCTAGTATTTTTTTTACTCCAGCATGTACGAGGTTTACTCCGAAATACATGTACTTTTGACTTGGCGCCGCGTAATACCGAGTGCATGTTCTAATGTAAAGGGCCAATCTCTAAAACTTGACAAAAGCGGAAAATATAAAATATCGAAGTATTGGTATGACGGACAAGGAATTCATGTATATTTTGCTTAGTTTTATTTTCAGTAGGGGGAAAGGGGCAAAGTTCATGAACCAATCGTTAGGTACTTGTGATCTTGTTGATCTTGTTGAGTACTGTAACAAGAATAAAAAAACAAAACTTTCCCTCAAAACAGTATTGCGGCTATAAATACCTAAACTGACAAATTGAAGAATGCAATTTAAATTTGAAATAAAACCAAGAAATTCTTGAGATAATTTTATAATAAATTGTAGCCTAAACTGGTCTACGTAAAATGTCGCTTACAAATATTTATAGTGTTTTGTGTTTATTAGGCTCAAAACCATCTCTTTTTTCCCTCATATTTCCCTCAATTTCAGGTGCGTAAGAATTTAAATATATAATTATGTCTTGTTCCGATTTATTGGTACAGTTAAAAGCCCACATGGCAACATCTCGCAAACAATAATGTTCCAAACACGGCAATATAGCATGCACTTCCTATTTCACGCTGTCTCTGATGACGTCACGCAACAAGGGAGACAAGCGATTTACAATAAATGATCCACTTGTCACACAGGTAAGTTTAAACGACTATTAGTGATGGAAATTGGTGACAAAAAATTAGATAGACCTCAGAATGTCATTCATATTGCTCCAGAGACTGACATTAATGAATAATTATGAATTTTAACAAGTATAGGTTACATCATAGAAGCCGAGCCGATTGATTATATCATTTCCACGCCCCATGAAAATGATATAACCAATAGTACGAGGCATCTATGATGTAAGCAACTTGTCGCATGTCTGATGACGTGAATTTCATTATATTGAGAGTGTCAAAATTCAATAATAAAAAAAAAGATTCATTTCAAGCTAGCTCTCCAACATGTCGGACGTTCTTAGTGAATTTGACTTTGAGTTTTTAACTGAGTTTTAAGATTTTGACAATTATTTTTGAGCCAGGCACTCGACATACATGAAATCACAGAAAAAAATAGCAAGGAGTTTAACAATAAAAAGTTTGGAGATTTTACCGTAAGTTTCAAATTTTCAAAATGGATTAATCTTTTGAACGACTGGGAACTTTCGACCGAGTTAAATACATGTATTTTAGTTTAGTTAAAGGGTAAGAAATAGCTACACATGTTCATTTTTCTGTTGTTATGAACTTGTGAAATAAAATCAGTTTTTTTTTTCTCATGACCTGATTTCTGCCTCCTGCAGTGATATATGAAGGGGCGTGGAAAGTATTATCGCATATGTGATATGGGATATATCACCACAGAAAGATCAAAGAAAATCACCGCAGATATGCGACAAAAATATTATACTTGACCTTTAAGGAAACTTAAGAATAGTGTCTGAAAATGTTCCTTCTGTAAGCTCTGATTCAATTCAGTAAATGGATGAGAGCAGGACAATTAATCCTCTGGGATTAATTATCTTGCCTGTTTCAGAATGTGTCTGCAAGTGATGTTTGTTTGAAGGTTTCATTGCATGAATTATAGACTGGTATCAGCTAGTTCTTTTCTTTTTTATATGAATTCCTATGTATTCTTAAATGTTAAAAAAATATATTAAATATCACTGATTACCTGTTGCTGTTAATCAGATAATATAACATAGATCTGTATTTTTTTCTTAAATAAAATGGTATTTTACTTTGTGAGCTTACCAATTGTTTGGAAAAAAAAACTGATAAACAAACAAACATGAAAAGAAAGAAAATAAAAAAACTCACACATTACATGATAAACAAAATACCCCAGACAAACAAACAAAAAAAGAAAGAAAGAAAGGAAGAAAACAACAACAACTAAACCCCCACACATTTCTCTTAGAAAAATCCAGTTTTTGGTACAGTAAAATATATCCAATGAAAAAAATCAAGAATCACAAGACTGGAGTCATTTTAACTGTAAGCACTTTCTGCCTTTAATGGCTCTTCAGACAATTACAAATTGAACACAAAATTGCTTAGTAATGTACATGTATATATTTTATGTTTTTTTTAAAAAAGAAGATTATAGTATACATTTAATACCACATTGTAATCACTGTATATCTATCTTTCTAAAATCTCTCTCAGATTACATGTTGACAGATTTAAAGTAAGGATATTTGTCCCATATTCTATTTTATTTAATTAGGAAACATAAATTTAAAAAAAAAATTCTCAAGGAATTGATAGGTCTTTAAAATGGTTCCCTTGTGATTAATTATCATTTATCCTAAAGCATTCCACATCAGCATCAAAGAAAATAGAAAAGACACTTATTTGTCCCTGGGGATAAAGTGAATGGGGATAAAGTGAAGAGAGCAATTCATTTTATTCAAAAATCTTTTTATAAATAGGAATTTGTAGACCTTTTATTATCTTCCATAGCTTTTGACTGATTATCTACTTAATATTGTGAATGAAATTACTGATATCAGAATATATTGATGTTTAAAAAAAAGCAGTGGAAGTCATTTCCTTACTGGTAAATCTACTTGTCGTGTAATGATTGCTTAAAACAGCTGTAAATGAAACAAATGGAAGACAAACATGGAAGATAAAATGCTCACTTAAGAAGCTATTATAACCAGAACGAAATTAATTTTTAGCGATATTTAATTTTAGCGATCTCAGCACCCTTGCTAATAATGCCAAAATTACATCCTCGCTAAAAATTGTACTTATACGGTAGTTATTTTGAATAAGACTGCTTCTTCCAAAATTGTGAATTTCATGGCCCCTGGGTCAGAGGTTCTGGTGTTAGGGTGGGACTGTGTTGATCATATAGTGAAAATGCATAATTTTTTTTTTATTAATATTTTAACTCTTTAATTTTTTTTTATTAATTATTTTTTTTTATTTTTTTATTAATCTTCTCCTCTTCTCCTGGGTATTAAACCAATGAACTATGTACATATGATGAGGAAGGTTGCCTCTTCATAATTTGTGAATTTTAGGGCCCCAGTGTCAGGGGTTCTGGTGTTGGGGTTGGGCTCTATTGATTACATTGTGAAAATGCATGAAATCTTTGAAAATCTTTTCCTTTGGTCCTGGTTATTATGCCAATGATCTAAGTACATATTTATGATGAAGTTAGATGCCTCTTCCAAAATTAATTTCAGGACAGGATCCCCGGGTCAGGGATACGGGGGGGGGGGGGGGGGGGGGTACAAAGTCTGATAATAAATTAATACTTTGAAATCTGCTCTTTGGTATTAATCAACCATTTATGATGAAATAAAATTTATGATTAAATTTCCAAAATGTTGAAATATGTGGCCTCAAGCTCAGTGGTTCCTTTGGGATGGGGTGCACAGTTGGTTTTTAAGTGGAAATGCATTTTCTCTTTGTTACCCTGGTCTACCTCTGGGTATTAAGAAGCCAAAGTAAGCATGCTAAGTGTGTAGTAATGATAAGCAATAGTGCCTCTATCAAAATTGTGAATTTCATGGCCGATGGTTTAGAAGATGAACCAAATTCAATTATTGGAAAGTTGTTACATGATACTCAGGTTACCTACGAGGGGTGAACAAAAAGTTCACAAGATTCAGATCAGAATGAAATTTGGCCACTTATAGTCATGCATATGTTCTATGAATAGCATATGAAAAGTATATACTGACAAAACGTCAGAAATACTCAAGCTGTAGAAAGTCAATTAGGATGTGTCATTGATATCTTAAAATAGTTGAGGTGAGGGCTATTAAGTTCAATCTTCTGTTGAATAAACTACAGGTAGCCTACATGAAACAAAATTCATATATTGATTTTAATTAGAAGAAATATATAATTAATCATACTACTTTTGAAGACAATTTAGACACAATTTCCAGAATATTTTAATTGCATAATTTAATGAAATATTTTTTTATGTGGACATTTAGTGTAAGTTTTTTGCATTTTTGTATTTTTTTATTATTTTTTTTTTTTTGCATAATGACGTACATCACATTCAATATATACATCAATCTAAATAGCTTGCTACAAGCCTGTAGAAAAGTTTTTTTTTAGCTCTGTTATGAAAGATTATGCGATAGAAGTTACATCTAGAAAAATGCTTCTGTCCGAATATCTTAAACAATTTTTCGAAATGCTACTCCTCCTACAATTTTAATTTGATTTCAACATATTACTTGGCACACAAGTAGACTACACTAAGATACATATTGGATAGTGCATCATTTTTGACACAGATGAACGGTGTTGCCATG